GAAATTTTTATTTGAATATTAGCTACTATTTACATATACGAAAAAATTTATTATTAAATTCGAAAATTATTATTAAATTATTCTTTGCGAATAATTATTGTCGATGATAATGTCATGTCCAACCTTTACAGCAAAGAGGAGACTTATAAAATTCAAATTTAATTGAAAATTAAAAGTATAAAAATTTTGAAATTAAAATTACTAAATTACTTAATATAAAAAAAAATTTTTTAAATTGACTTAACGAAAACTCAAATTCTAATAATTAATTCTTTATTCACCCATTTGATACAACAGTGACCTAACTCAAAAAGTACGATTTCTGAGTTACGAGTATTTGTATAAATATAAAGCACTTGAATTAATTTCTTTCTTGTGCAAAAACTTTAGTTAACTAATTTGAAAATTGTCACTTACAATAACTCCCAAAATTTTACAATTCAATTTTCTTAAATATTTAAACTTTGAGTTATGTCATTGTAACAGCGAACAAGGTATTTAATTAAATTTAAAATAAAAATTAAATTATTTTAAAATTTTATTTCATAAATTATATACAGTGGTAGCATTGAATTAAAAAATTCCTAATGAAATTTAATAAAGGAATTTTTCAAATAAAAAATGCCTTATATTTTCTTGTCTAAAATAAATATATACCTATTTATTAAGACACAACATTAAAAACATAATTATTATAACAAATATTTAAAATCAACACAAAATAAAAAAAATAGAAATATTTGTGCAATTTTATGGTACATTTAATTTTTATGTTAGAAAAAGATTAAAAATATTGATTATAAAAAATCATTCTGCATAAAATTTTTATAGAAATTTTTTTTAGAGAGAAAGTTAAAAATAAAATAAAGAAAAAAAATTTGTAAAGGAAAATTTTCTGTTACTATTTTTTTTTTTGTTTTATAATAGAAAATCAATGATGGCACTTTTCCATGAACCCAAAAATAAAAAAATACAAAAAGGTATTTTACTTTTTATATTTATGTTATAAAATAATAAAAAGTCAACATAAATCATTATAATTTTATTTATTTTGTGTAAGTAATTTTATTCAGTTCATCTTAATTAAGAAAATATTAAGTAACAAAAAAATATCATTAAAAAATTTTCATTATTTCTTATTTTATGTAATTAAGAAAATTTTCTCTTTTCTTTCTTTTTTTTATTTATTTAAAAAATTTTTGAAATAAATTATTTTTTTTTTTTAATTAAAATTATGTCATCAAATCTCACAATTTTATGAATTATTCTTCTTCGATTATATAGGATGTTCATTTCCATTGTTTAATTTTCTTGCTTGGCGGGAGGTTTCAATTTTCATAGAGACTACGAGTAATGCAAAGTAATCTTTTATCTAAATTTAGTTTTGCTTATTAAATTTATTTGAATTCGGTTAGCTGGTTGGTATTCTAAATATTATTGTCTAAAAATCTTGAAATAAATGTGCGAGATACACAACCATGCCACCAATTTTTCAATATTTTGCAATAACTTATAATACTTGTTCTTATAATTATTTTATTATAGATATTTAAAGTAGTTATTATTTATATACTTGTTCAGCGGTAGTCCCTGAAAATGAGAATAATAGCTATTTCACTAAAGACTAATTACAATTAATACTGACTATTATGTTAAAATTTCAGTGAATAATTAAAATGGATTAAATTTTCAATAGTCTTTCACTTTCACAATTTACTACAACACCACAATTAATGCAAAATTCAAGATTTTTTGAGTTTCAATAAAAATCAAGCGACTTATTTATTTATTTATTTACAGATATTAATTACAATATAAAAATAATAATCAACACAATAAGCATTACTACCAAAACTATCGGCTCGCAAGCTACTGAAAATTTAAGAATTTGTAAAAACTTTTTTTGAATATTTTATTAAACACAAATAATACAGAATATTGTCAAATAGTTTTACAAGTTAATAAGGTTGGCGCGTTGTGTCAATCATTTTAATAACGAAAGAAGAAAAAAAATTAAATAAAATAGCCTAAACCAATTTTATCAAGCAATTAGAGTTTTGTTTTACCCGCCTTATTAATAAATTATTACTATACACTTGCATTGATTTTTGAAAATCACTGAAGAATAAATTTAATTTTCTGTAACCATATTAATTTCAGAATCTAATTATATACATACGAGTACATACGTATGTACATATAAGCTTGATGTTCCGATTTTTATTATTTGTTTTAAACTAGTTTTAATTTCAATAAAAATTAAAATATTGTATAAGTTTATGGAATATTCTTGAGACTTTTATCATATACGTACATATTGTGTACGTTTATATTTAATTATCTAATTTGTTTGTTCCCTTATCTACTCAAAAATAAACTCCTATTTCCTGCCCTTTCGGTAGCTAAAAAAAAATTAATTAATAAAGGAATTTCAACATACAAACATGGATAAGTTTTATTTGATTTCATTATTTTTTTTTTTTGTATTTTTACTTTTGTTTGTAATTTTCCTTTTTAATGTTTTGTTCTTTTGTTAAGAAAAAAAAAATTAAATGCCTAGAAGTCAAAAAATTTCAACAGATAAATAAATATATACATATGTATATAGGTATGTGAATATGTGTAATATTCTAAAGTTAATAAAAATTATATTTCATAAAAGAATATTAAGATTTTTTAGTTATAATTGTTAAAAAGTAAGTAAATTGTTTTGTATCTAGCGAAAAAATTTTTGGTTTTTAGAATTCAAATTAAAATATTGTTCTTTCTAAAGTTAATAGTGAGCTCACAATGTTACCTCGTATGCGACTACAAATTATAAAATTTTATTTTCATATTAAAATTAATTTAAAGTGACAATTTATTCAACTTTTAAACAATTTTAATGAATGATAATGAAGATCTTCAAAAATTTGAGAAAAAAATTCGCTAGTACTGCCTGTATATTAATAAATAACAGGTTAAGATAAATTAAATTTTGGAAATTATGTAATCGACTGATTGGCTGCATGATACTGATAACAGTTAATATGTCCTGTTACAACTATTAATTTTCTCATTCTTCTTCTTAACAATAATTCTATAATGTTATAAGTATACATATAAATGCATTCTTTAAAGAAACTAAGTTAGTAACAAAAATACAAAAGTTAGTGTTCCAGTTCTTATCTTATGAATAATCAAGATTATTTGCAAATTTTCCTTGTACATACTTAAAACATACTTTATTTTATTTTTAAACTGGTTCTAATACGATATGCATACATACAATGCATTTATGTCGTGAAGGACACTTTCCTAAATTTCATAAAAATTCTGCTTTTGCAATTGCTATCAAAATTTGCTTTTGAATAAAAACAACTCAAACCTAAACTTAATAGTAGTGCATAGCGTTCTAAATAATTAAATGAATTCCAGTAAATCAGACTAAAATGTTCTTAAATTGTTTTCTTCTTCTCTTTCTCTGAAAACTTGAATGAGTATACATATAATTTTCTTTCTAACACGCCATACAATATCATGAAAACCTAAAATTTTAAGATTTTTTTTATATTAATAATTTGTTTATTAAAAAAAATACATTATGAGTTGAATTTTTTTGATCCCACTCTAAATAATTACATTTGAAATTTAAATAACCTAGGTAGGTAATCTTCAAAAATAACCAATTTTACAATATTAAGCACAAAAGTTTTCAATTTCCTACAAAAATGTTAATGTTTAATTTTACATTAAAAGTAAATGTTAAATTTTTGGTTTCACTTAACAAAATGCCCACTATTAAGATAGTAATTACAATTACCGTTATATCTGTTAATAAATACTATTACGGTATAATAAGCTTGCTTATGATTATGTTTACAATTTAGTATTATTTAGTATTAACATTTTAATTGATACTTTAATTATGCTCTTAAAATTTTTGATTTAAACCTAATTGAGATTTTATTAATTGAAATGAGCTCATACGATGTGGAATTCTTGTTAAGTATTCTATTTCAGTCGTTTTTATTTTATTTGTTTTACCTACTTAATTCTACTTAAAATTATGAAGTTGGAATGTGCAAATATTTACCTAGATATATAATATAATTTTGCAAATCCTGCATAATGCAATTTCAAAAACACAGAAAAAATATCTGTAATAACTGTAACGCAATCACACGCGATTAGTTTTTTTAGAGTATATTTTAGGAACTAATGGACGTTCACTGCATTTGCCTTTGATCCAAATTTGCTTTCAATTTTAAAACATTCTTAAACAAAATTTCAAATTTTAATTTGTATTCTAGGTAGGTGGATAGGTAGGAACGAAATCTGAACTGAAGGTCTGTATTAAAAATTTAAAGTTTGAAAACCCCTGTTTATTCTCATTTAAAACACAAAAAACAAAATATTTAAATGTGGTATTTTTAGTCTTTTTAATTACGGAGTAAAATAATACTATATAGAACGCATATTTATTACTACCAAAGAAAATATTATATGCTACCTACATACGTGTAATTTTGTAGATAGGTATGTATGTATGTACGTATACATTTTATTCTTTTTAAGAAAGTTGTACATACTCATCTATATAAATAACTTTAATACATATTTACATTTTTTTTATTTCAATTTTTCTTTAAGTACCTATATAGGGTACCTATAACCTTATTGTTTTTGTTTTCAATGATATTTTGTTGTGAATTGTGATAAGAAATTTTTAATCCACCCCTTTCCCATTTATTTTTTTTTTCTCTTAATCAATTCAAAATAATAATATGTAAATATGGCACTACTTACATATTATTTTCTAATTTAATTTACATACTTAGTTCCTATCCTTTTAATATTATAATTTCATAATTTACAAATTTATTTAGTACATGTATGTATATATCTACATGCTTATGATTTTTCAAAAAAATAACTTGACTACGTGAAAAATTTACATAAATTTCGATCATCCGACCATATTCTAAAGAGTTTGAAAAAAAAAAAAAAAAAGCACTCACCTTCAATAATTTATTCTCCCCTTTATTTCTCCTCTTTACACAAATTTTTAAAAATATTTAAAATTTGAAATTTTTAATTTATTTGAAAATTGTTTATTTCTATTTTTTTTTTGTATTTTTATTAAATAACACTTTTTAAAATATTTTTTCCACAATAAATATAAATTTTTTATTTTCCTTCAACCAAAAAAAAAAAAATAATACGTACGATAGAGTCAGCCAAATTTTACATCACTTGACACAATACATTAAAAATATTTCGAAATTTAATTTCCGAAATTTCAAAGTCAAAAATTACACACATATATATATGTGTTTCATTCATTCATTTATAAATTGATATAAGTTTATGTGTAATAGAAGAGATTAGCTATAATTTTTTTTTTATTCTATTTTACTTACTATGAAACGTCAAGTAATATTTTACGTCTATTCCTGACAAATTGTTTTCATAATTTTAGATCGTCAAAATAAAATTTTCTTAGTTTCAAATTTGTTTGACATTCAATATTTTTTAATGGGAAATTAATATTTATTATATTTTTAACTATATATGTATTATTAATATCAGCAATTTTAATTTAAATTTTAATTTCAAATTAAATTATAATAATTAAGGGTAATTATGTTCTTGTTATATTATTTGAACTTAAGTTATTTATTCAATATTTTCAAAAAAATTTTAAAAATTTTCTTTACCTTTTACGAAACACAAAAACGACAACACTTTTTTGCATATTTATGGCTTCGCAAAAATTTTGACATTATATTTTTAATATCGTAAAAATTTTGGCAATTAAAGTTCGTAGTAAAACAAAATTACAACTTTGAATTTTTTTCTTGTTTTTATTTTTGTATTCGTGTGTTCGTATTCTATAATTAAGAATTTTTATATCTAATATACATAAATTATTAGACCGATTAGATTGTTAACCGCAAAAAATTACAAATATAATTTAAGGATTACATATAAAAAGACATATCAAGAAAATGATACGCGTTAATTATTAAGGTCACTAAAAGACAATTTTTTTGTTTGAATTAGCTTCAAAGTTTCGATATAAAAAATTATTTAAAAATTAAGTAATAAAAATAAAAACGATAAAATGAGAGCAACTGTGGATAAAAAACTTCTACCAATTAAAGCCCATTATTTTCTGTTTAATGCAGGTTGGTAATTGTAATATTTTTGATAAAATTTAAGATTTAAATGTTTAACAATATTTAAATTTGATTTTTTTTTATATTTATATTAAAGGAACTGCACCCGTAGTGCCTTTTATGCCAACATTAGCACGTCAATTAGGATTTTCCACACAAATTGTTGGTACAATATATGCTGTATTACCAATTATTGGAATGTTAACAAAACCATTATTTGGTTGGATAGCGGATAAATACCAAAGACATAAAATTTTATTTATATTAGCTCAGTTATTAACAGCTATATCATTTTTTTGCATAATGTTTATACCACCTGTGCCTACAAAAGTAGAACTAGACTGTAATGAAGGTTAGTTGTATACATTATTATATACATAACCATAATGTATGTACTTTCGACATTCAATATATCTATAGAAAAATCATTGATATACATAAGTAAATACATATTTTTTTTGCCGACTAAAGTTTTCCTGAAAGCAATGATCTCTTTTTATGATTAAGTAACGTAATATTTTTTAAATGCAAACGTCCACATAATTTATGGAAACCTTTAAAACAATATTTTCAATTGTAATACGTTTATAAGGCTGTTTTTTTTTTTGGGTCGGTTTATAAAATTGTATTACATATTGCTCGAGTTAAAGCACTTAAAAATGCCTAGATTTTTTCAAATAGAGTAGCAAAAATTTGTAGAATGGTTTATCAAAAACTATGGACAACAAATTCATTTTTGAGACACGAGAATTAATAAAAGAAATTATAATCCTATTACACTTTGTATTATAGCCTTTTTGATTTAAATGTTCACTATTGTGGAAAAATCTTCTTTCTACCTAGACAGAATTCGCGACCCACATTTTCAATTTAAAAAAAAAAATTACCTTTTCTGTTTTTCTTTTTTTTAGATTTAACATAATAAAATAGAATTATTATTTTAGGTGCGAATGAAATTCGCTTTTGTCCAAAGAATCCAAAAATAAATCAATGTATACAAGATAAATTGGAAAAACATTTTATTGGTGAATCTCCTAAATGTCAAATGATATGTGATGCAACACCAGCGCATTGGGATATAATATGCAAGAACTGGAATGTAACAGAACCAAACAAATGTAATAAAGAATTACCAACATTTCAATATGATGTTATATTAAATATGAGCCATATATTAATATCAGGAGATTGTATATTTTTCCGTGAATATAGCGGAATTATGAATGGTATTAATACAACAATGTATTGTCCATCGGATGCAAATAAATCATTATTTAAATCAAAATGCGAATTGATTTGTGAAGATAAATTTATAATGACAACGTTAGCAGAAGGAGATACTACTCATAATGAAAGTGTTAGTGGTTTATATCAATTTTGGATATTTTTTAGTTTATTAATTACAAGTTGGGCTGGTATGGCAGTAGTTGTAAGTGTCGGTGATGCTATTTGTTTTGCTATGTTAGGAGACCGTCATCATTTATATGGAAATCAAAGATTATGGGGTGCAGTCGGTTGGGGTATATTCTCTATAATTGCTGGTTTATTAGTTGATAAAATGTCTGGTGGAAGTCCAGTCAAAGATTATACAATTATATTTTATATGGCTCTTATAATAATTATTTTTGATATGTTTGCATCAACAAGATTGGAGGTACATAAAAAAAATTTTTAATTTTTTATCAATTAATTGTAAAAATTTTATTAGAATTCCTAATAAAATTCAATATTTTATTTTTCAGTTTACAGAATCAAAATTTTCTACAAGTATTTTAAAAGATGTTGGTAAATTATTTTTATCTTTTCGTGTTATAATATTTTTTATTTGGTGTGTTTCGGTTGGATTATGTACGGCACTTATATGGAATTTTTTGTTTTGGCATTTAGAAGATTTAACTGATGCTGCTAATAAACCATTATGTGAACCAGATTATATGAAAACATTACAAGGTTTTGCAATGGGTATACAATGTTTTGGTGGTGAATTACCATTTTTTTTTTTATCTGGTTGGATTTTAAAAAAAATTGGTCATATAAATGCAATGAGTTTGGTATTATTTGGTTTTAGTTTAAGATTTATTTTATATTCGATATTATCAAATCCATGGTGGGTTTTACCAATTGAATTATTAAATGGTATTACATTTGGTATATTTTATTCAACGATGGCATCATATGCAAGTATTGTTGCACCACCAGGAACTGAAGCAACATTACAAGTAAATATTAAATTTATAAAATCTAATTTTTATATATTAATAATTATGTATGTTTAATTTTTATTTTTTATTTATTTTTAGGGTATGGTTGGTGCGATTTTTGAAGGTGTCGGAGTTTCAATTGGTAGTTTTATTGGTGGATTATTATTTAATGCTGTCGGTGGGAGTATAACATTCCTTATTTATGGAGTTTGTGCATTTATTGTATTTTTAATGCATGTTGGTGTACAATATTTTATAAGTGGGAACGATTCGGGTAAGAAAAAGAAGGAATTAATATCTAATGATAAAGATATTAAGTTAAAAATGGAAAATTCAAGTAACAAGAAACTTAATAATGATGTTGGGGATGATGATGATGGTGATAATAAAAATAAAATTGATATAGAAAAATTTACTGAAATTGATCTTAGTAAATAATCGAAAATTCATATTTAATTATTGATTTTTTAGTTTTGAATTTTATGTTCCTTTTGTTTTTTCCGTTTCTTTTTTAATTTGTGTTATTTTGAATTAAGAATATAAAATTTTTTTTTATATCAAAATTAATTTCTTTTATTCATATTTTTATATTTTAAGCATTAATGGTGTATTATTAAAACATCTGCTTACAGAAATAAATGAGAAAAGTTCTTTTAAATAAAAATTAATTTTAAAAAAATTCGAATGAATGATTATATAAAAGAAAATTTGTTTAAGTTCATTAATCCTATCACACGAATACTAGAGTAGGAATAGAAAATATGCTCCTTAAAAAGTAAATATTTATAAAAATGATTAGAAAAACGAAAACAAAAGAAAAAGTAAAAATAATAGTTCTAATTTACATAAGAATTAATATTTTTTATTTCTAATACAACCAGTCTTTTACGAATTGAATCCGACAATAAAATTAAAATCTTATATGTGTTTTGTTTTTTTTATCAAAAAGTAAATCAATAAAACAAAAAAAAAAGCTCTTTTTTTTTTTAAATATTATCTAGGTTATTAAAATATTTTTAAATAATAGAATTTTTAATTAGATTAGAATACTTAATTCTAACCATATGTTTGAAAACAATGGGCTTATTAGAATGATAAGAAAAACTAATATAATAAAAGAGTGTTGTAGGCGGTTCTTAGTTATTGAGTAACTAATTGAATATAATTTATAATTTTTGTATTTCTAAGAATTAATTTTAATAAATTAAAAATGTAACAATATTTTAATAAATTGGGGGTACCAAAAATCATTTTTAATTAAGTTTTTATTTAAATTTTTTATTATTTAATTTTGTGTTATTAGAAATAATAAGTGCATGAAATGAATTTTTACAAAATAATCTTTTTGTGATCTATCAATTTTAACTCAACAGCTTTGATTAATTGTTATTATTATTAATTAATTAAATATTTTTGCTTCTTTTAATAACAAAAAAAAAATATACTAACAATATTTTCTAAATTAAAATTTTATGTTATTTTTTATACTATGTTTTTTTTATTTTTCTGTACTTTTTTATACTTTTCTATGCTTTCTTTTTTTTTTTTTAGGTTACTCAGCAAATTACAATTTTCCTTCAATGCTATTGGATGATCAAGATGCTTAAATTGATATTTTTAGTGAAATTTTAAATAAAAGACAAAATTTATTATTCAGTATAATTAATTATTAGTAGATTTTTTTTAGTATTTTAAATGTTGATTAGAATGAAAAATAATTAAGAAAACAAAAAAAAAAATATATTGATTGTTATTTCTTGTTAATCTTCTTGTGTAAATTAAAAAAAAAAAATAAGTGATATGGCATGTATGTAATTTTTATATTTTTTAATTTTTATGTATAAATAAATTGTTTAAATTTTTATTAAATTTGATTTATATAGGTTTTTATAAAATTATATTTCATTATTTCTGTTATTCATTGTATTTTTTATAAAGGATGTTTTTGTTTTTAAAAATAATGTATGCATAAATTTATAAAATCTCAAAAAATGATTTCCGAAATTTTTGAATTTTCAGTTTAAATGGAAATTTTTAAATTATTTTTTTTTTTAAATTTAAATGATTTTTTTGTATTAAATGATTGTTTATTTAAAGAGCAAGTTGATTCAATAGTAACAAAATACAGAAATAACTTAAAATTTTTATTAACATGTGAAAATTTCATAATTACTCTAACCCTCTAAGTTGCATCACTTGGAAAGAATATGGTTTTAATAGCTTTTAGAATTAATATTAAAATTTGAGATTCATTCCGAAAACCTCATTATTTTTTTTTTTTTTTTTTGATAATATTTTATAATTTTAAGTGATGCTTCTTAGAGATACGAGTAATAAGGGTAAAAATAAATGTAAATTTTTTAATAAAATTTTTTATTGCAATTTTATTTTTCTTTTTTTATTAAATTACAAATATTTTATAAACAATTATTTTAATATATTTATAAGATATCATCTTGAAATTATTTTTAAAATAATATTTTTTTAAAATAAGTAAAATATTTTTTTGTATTTACAGAAATTTTAATTAATCCGAATATTTGAATAGTCTGAATTCATTCTAGAAATTTTTTATATAATATTTATACTAATTATTAAGAATTAATTGTTTTACAATTCCAACATAAATCTATAAAACACCGATAAGAATTCATTTTAAAAAGACTTAAGAAAACAATTAAATTATTTGTCAAAGTACAATTTTTATAAATTAATAATAATTTTTCAATTAAAATATTATTTAATTTTTTCATAATTTGTTATTCGGATTAACAATAATATTCTGTATTATCTATAATAATTCTTTATATTAAGTATTTGTATCAGATTACAGAATTGAAATTAAAAAAATTTAAAATAATTTTAAATAATATGTAATTTAATTTGCATGATATTATTTTTAAATTTTATAATATTAAAATGCATATAATTCATTAGATGAAAAAGAAATTTTTTGTATGAAATTTATAAATATTTTTATGTTATTAAACAAGTATTAATTGTTTTTTTTTTTTTTGTTTTGTAATAAATGATTTTTTATTAAAATTTATTATTTTCATATTTAATTGATTAACTCAATATTTTTAATATTATTTTTATATAAAATTAAATGTATTTTTAGAAATAAAATTGTTTGTATTTTATTGAAAATATTTAAAAATGCTTGATTATAATATGCAAACTGTTGAAATTTATTAAAATTTCTTTATTTTTTTCTTAACCATTATTAAATATAAAAAATTAATGTATTTTGGTACCCATTTTAAATTTATATTTAATTTTGAAATTAAATTATTTTATTTGTAATAAAATAATATAAATAAGAATTGAAAATTATGTGTTAAAAGTTCGTTTTCAATTCTTTATAGAAAATGAAATTTTAATAAATTAATCTTGATTTTAAGGAAACCTCTTCAATTTCGATAATTATCGTTGTCTGTTTGAAAGCAATTTTGCTTATAGTAAAATTAAGCAATAGTGAATTCAAAAAAACAGAAAAAATTATTTGCAAATTAAGATCTGATTTTAATTTTTTGTAGAAAATAAATTTAATAAATTGATTTTCGTTAAAGGAAAAGTTTTCATTTTCACTATTTATTATTGTTAAATATTAGATTAACTATTTCAGTAAACTTATATTTTGCTATGGAAAAATGTGTATTTCTAATGCTTAATTATTTCAAAATAATTTCCATTATAATGTGATTTTCGATAATTCAGATATACACTTAAAATTCTTAGACTAGGACCGTTAAACGTTCTTCGAATTTCAAAAGGGTTTCTTTTGTAGATTCTCATAAAGAATTATCAAATATGCTTAAGTTAAACATTGTTATTATTATTATTAATTGCAATTTTGATTTGTCAAACATGGTTTTATTTTAACACTCAAATTAGAACTTTAATTTTTCGAGAATTCCCTTATGCTATTTAATTAATTATTGATTATTATTGAATTATAGAGTATAGTGATTATTTTAAGTATTTTGTTTACAATTAAATTTAATTTCAAAGTAAAGGCTTTTTTAATTTTATTATGAATTTTATTATCATTTCAAATCAAAATTCAAGAATCATTTGTTATTAAGGGATTAGGGAATAATAAAGGTTTGAGAGTTCATCTTTATAATACCAATGCTTCCTGTATAATATCTAGGAACGAATCGAAAAGAAATCAAACACAAATTTTCTATTTTAATAATAAAAAATTCATTATAATTTCTTATATTAATATATAATTAAATGTATATAATATAAAATGATTTTTTTTATTTTTCTATAATAATGTAAATTTTTTATGTAAAATACTATTTTATACAATAATATGTGTAAATAATTTGCATATATGTATATATAACAATAAATTCGATATTTTTTTTAGTTACAATATTTTGTAGTATAAATGAGATTTCAAATAGGAAAATAGAAAAATGTTAACAATATTATTCTTTACTATTTATAAATTTACTATTTTTTTTTTTTTAAATTAATTATGTTTAGTATGTATACAGTCTTCATTTCTTTAATTCTTATTAACTTTATTTTCTGCTTGTTTTCGAAGATTAATGGCACGATTCTATAAAAAGAAATAATAATATATTTTATATATAAATTTATATTATTGAATTATTCTATTTTATCACTGACTTTATAATGTACATGATAAATTTAATTAAAATTATTATGTTATCTAATAGGAACTACTTTATTTTACAAGCTCTATTGTATAATAAAATACAATATGTAGCCTCTTACTAGACAAAGTCAATTTTAATGTTATATTGAAACTATTGAGTTTTAAATGTGCTGAGACTTTTACTTTATTAAATTATTATATTAAAAGTGTTAAAATTTAATTAAATATTAAATGTATTTTAAAAGCATTTACAAGAGTAAGTATATTCACCTTTAATGATCTTGATTTATGATGTATATCAATCATAGCTCGCCTTATTTTAATCAGTTTCTCACGATAAAATTTAACTCGTTCCATCTAAAAATTTGAATTATTGTTAGTGCTATTTAATTTAATACTTTAAATTGAATAAATTTATTTCAAATAATGTAATGGTTTAATAGAAAATAGTAAAAATTGCCATTTAACTTTTGTAAAAAATAGTTTGAGTGGAATGATTCAAATAGCAAAATTAAGTTTTTAATAACGAAGATGACCGTAATAACTAAAGGAAAAGAGTCTGTAACTAATTCTAGAACGTAAAGTACAACTATGCAACAATTTATATAGGTAAGTACCTATAAATTGTATATTTGTAAAATAAATTTTTAATTACTGAAATTTTAATGTACATTGATGTTGTGTATTCACTTGAAAAATGCTGTGAGAATGTAAGTAAATGTTTGCTCCCAAAATTAGTACCGTGGATTTATAAAGAGGTTCTCGTCTATTTTAATTTAGGTACTACCTACATATAATTAAGGCAAAATATCCAAATTCAATATTAATACTTACTAAATTTTCTACTATATAAATATTGTTGTCTGTATATTTAAATTTTTCTGCTGAAATATCCAAATAAATTTTATTCTGTTTGGATCTAAAAATTGATATAGAAAATTAATAAAATCTTCAATATTATGTATAATATATAAAATTTTATGTAGTTAGTTCATTATGGATTACATTAGCTCTTTTAACTGTGGTTTAACTTTCATTAATCTTGGGTAAGTAATGTTTAGAATTTCTGTTCCTAGTATCTGCGCTAAAGCTTCAGAATTTTCAGATTGTTCACTAAAATAATAAAATTTATCATATTTAATAACTGCTAACATTATAGATTTACATATAGTATAATAATATTATAATTTAAACATAATATTGTTGAAAACTATTTAAAATTAACAAAAATAGTTTTGCCTAATATAATCAAAATGGTTTTGTAATTTTAATTAACTTTGTTTTTAATGTAAAAGTAAATATATATAAAATGTTACGTTTTAGATTTTTTTGGTAAATTTTCTTTATTATTCTTTATATCTTCAATATTTATATCTTTGATCTTATCAGCAATTTCCTGTGTTTCCATGATCCTTTTGTTTTGACATTTAACATATGACATTGAAATAAGCTGCTTACTATATTGATAGATTATAATACAATAACAAAAATCTCTCCAAAATTGTTATAAACATAAAATGTTTATAAATAAATTTTAAGCATCTTTCAAAATAAGTTACCCAATTAACTCTTAATTTACCCAGTAAACCAATGAACTTTTTGATTCATCTAATAAACCGATGAACTTTTTAATTCATTTAATAAACCGATGAACTTTCTAATTCATCTAATAAAGCGATGAATTTTTAATTCATTTAATAAACCGATGAACTCTTTAATTCATTTAATAAACCGATGAACTTTTTAATTCATTTAATAAACCGATGAACTTTTTAATTCATTAAATAAACCGATGAATTTCTTAATTCATCTAATAAACCGATGAATTTTTTAATTCATCTAATAAGCCGATGAATTTTTTAATTCATTTAATAAAACGATGAACTTTTTATAATCTGCTAATTGTCATAATTAATTTTCGTTTTTTAAAATAATTAAAATAAGATTTGAAAAATTGATAATTTGAAAAATTTTTAAAATTTCCAAGATTAATATTCCAAAATAATTAAACAAACTGAATTTATAGTTAATAAATTTTTAATTTTTTTTTCATTTATTGAAATTACATTATCAAAATAAAGATTAGAATTTACGTATTATAATTTAACTTTATAACAAGCTTTTTTTTGTTTATTTAAACATTATTCAATTAATTTTCATAAAAATTAATCATACATATGACTATAATGCTCCTGATATACTTGGATGTAATTATCTTTCTCTTGTTTTGTCATTTGAGCTATTAATTCATTATCTATTTCATCAATTGGATATGGTTTTCCAGATACATGAACTACTGGTATATCATCATCAGAATCGGAATTATTGATAAATTCAACATTTGCTAAAACACAAAATAATAAATTATATTATTAAAAAAATCTTCACTAAATTTTTATAAATTAAAAAAAAATATAATAAATAAGGAGATAAATTACGAATTTCAGTATTTTCTATATCTTTTTCATCATCACTACTATCACTTGAATTATTTCGAGATGTTAATCCTTTAAATGAATTATTATTTTTTCCTGTTTGTTTTTCATGTTGTAATAGAACAGACATAATATCTTCATTTTCTTTCCTTCTATTATTTGAATTAATTGTCGTTGTTGTATTTGATTGCATAGCTGTTTGTGCAGCTTGTTCTAATATTGAATCTGAACTAACACTATCATCATTTGTAATAACAGTACTTTCTGTCATCCAAATTGGGCGATCTTTTCTAGCAATTGTTGAATCGGTAGCATCATTTTCACCACTAACATTAACATCGACACGGGTTTCTTCAACAGCAAAACCTTGATTTCTTGTTGCTTCCCCAGACCATGTTATACCATCTGGTCTATTAATTGGTTTAACAATACCTCTTATTGTATCTAAGTCAACTGGTTCAGGTTCTAATAGTTCTGGTGCTAATTTTATACCTTCAACTTCACGTAAGAGATCATAAAGTGGTTGCAATTGTTCATTAAATTTGGCTAATAGTAATCTTGAATCTTTCTTTGGAAGGGCAGACATATCCTCTTCAACAGAACTTCCGCAATATGTGCAACGAAATTCTTGAGTTGTTGGATCAAATAATTGATCAGCCTAAAATATAAATAAAGTGTAATAAAGAAAAAAATGTATGACAATCAGATTTAAATCGTGTAAGCTTTATTTATAAAATTTTGATTTGTCTAAATCAATATAAATGTTGTGTTATATTAAAATAAAGTATTTATATTCTTTAATTACCTCAAGATCTGTAAATGTTTTACAACAATTAGGGCATTTAAAGCTTGCTCTACTTGTTGCATCACGTTCCTCTGTTTCCATTCTTTTTCTCATTAAATCCAATTTATATTTAACAACATTTACAAAAGTTTTATAATTTATAAAATAGTAATTGACTTTTTGGGCTTTGCCATCAGGTCCTGTTTCCATTTTTAATCTAACTTGAAGAAATTTATCATTTTTTAATGTTGATATTCGTGATCGAAGCTGTTTCTTTTCAAATTTTAACAATTCACATATGTCATCCTCTTTCATGCCTTAAAAAAATTCATAATCTCTTTAATACTTAATTTAATATTTTAAAATATGTAATAAATAATTTGTTAATATCCTAATTCACTTACATGGATTTCTGACAAGCATATCAATTATCAATGCATCTTCTATTGAATAAAAACCTCGAACAACTAGACGTGCTAATTGTTTTAAACTGCTTGGTATTTCTGTAACATAACGTGGTTCTGCCACTGAAGTAGTCATCTCTTAAATAGAGCTGGTCAAATAGGAAAAAAATATTATGGATATTTAGTTAAATTAAAATTACGATATTTTTTTTAAATATTCTTATACAAAGACGGTAATTATACATTAGAAATTAGTTTCTAGCAACAAATAAATTAAAATGCAAATATTTGCTAAAAAAATATCGAAAATCGTGGTCCTCAAAATTATTATGCGACAGCATGTTACTCTAAGAACAATTTTTTTACGATATTAATGGTAAGTTTTTTAATTTCTACCGTTAATATTTCGTTATTATTCTCTCACTCAGAAATGTTGCTAGCGTAAGGCTAAAACAAATAAATTATGACTTCATTTCTTCTCTGACATTTTGTTTACTGTCAACACCTTTGCGTTTTCAAATACTAAGCTTTTTTAATTAAAATTTGTAATTTTATAAGATAAAATAAACCAATTGTAAATTGTAAACAAATATTTGTTTATGAATTTTAATAATTGCATTCTTATCTATTTTTAGATAAAAAAAATATATAATAAAACCGGCTTCAATTAATACTCTTCTAGTTCATTCTACAAAAATTTAATTGAAGGAGCTACAGACTGAACTTCGCTTTGGATTTAAATCAAAATTAATTTAAAATGGCATTAAAGTGGGGCATTGCTTCAGCTGGTAAGATAAGGTTGGTACACTCGCTACTCTTTGTTTTGAATTTTTCTTAAATTCACAAAGTAAATAATAAAAATATGAAAATTTATGATTTATAGCTATGATTTTGCTGTAGCTTTATCAACTTTACCAGAAGACGAACATAGTATCGTAGCTGTTGCAGCAAGAGATCAAAAACGTGCTGAAGATTTTGCTAAAAATTTTGATATACCAAAATCTTATAATAGCTATGAACAATTAGCAAATGATCCAGAAATCCGTAATTATAAAATATTGATTTAAAAATGTTATTTTGATTTGATTCTATTATTTACAATATATTATAGAAATAGTATACATCGGTGCTATTCATCCCCATCATTATGATATTGGTATAATGATGTTGGAGAATAATAAGCATATTTTATGTGAAAAACCATTATGTATGAATGAAAAACAAGCGAAAAAACTTATTACATACGCTGAACGAAAAAAATTATTTTTAATGGAAGCTGTTTGGTCAAGATTTTTCCCAGCCTATCAATATATTAGAAAACAAATTAATACAGGATTATTGGGAGATATAGAACAAGTTGATGTTCAATTTGGTTTTGATTTAACTACAGCTGATAGAGTACAGTAAGGAACACAAAATTATTTAATTTTAAAACTGAAAATACATTGTTTTTTTTTATTCTCAGAAAAAAAGAGTTAGGTGGTGGATGTATTTTAGATATAGGAATATATACAATTCAAATTAGTCAATGGGCTTTTCAACAACCACCTAAATCAATTGAAGCCAAAGGTGAACTTAACAGTGAAGGAGTTGGTAAATTTTGATAATGAAATTTTAGAATTATTTACAAAATATTGTAATTTTATTATTGTAGATATTGAAGTAAATGCGAAAATTCATTATTCGGATAAAACATTTTCTAATATAAAATTTTCTGGAAAGGAGGCTCTGACTAATACTGCTGTAATCAAGGGATCTAAAGCTTCTATAACTGTATGAAATTTTTTCATTATTCTTGTACATGCAATGAAAATTTTATGTTTAAAAATTTTAGTTAAAAAATTTTTGGTGTCCTACAACAATCATTGATATTGATGGTAAAGAAAAAACTTGGGTACTTCCCGAATCTAAATATAAAACCAATTATATTAATTCAGTTGGTTTACGTTATGAAGCTGAAGAGGCTAGAAAATGTATTCTAGAAGGAAAAATACAAAGTGATCATATGAATCATAATGAATCATTACTTTTGGCACATATTGAAGATGAATTTAGAAAACAGGTTGGTGTTACCTATAAAGAAGATGAGTAAAGTTGATCCGATATCTTGATTTTCTAATATTTACTAATATTTATATTAAAAAAAATTGTTTGGAATAAATGTTTTGTATTTGAAATAATTTTTGTTTTACTTATTAAGATAAAAAAAAAACTTGTTGCATAAAAATAAAAAAAATTTTGAAAAGAAAATCAAAACAAAATTGCATGTTCCTATTTTTTTTTTTAATAATAAACAACATTGTTGCCAACATTGAAAAGCCGGTAATTATTCTTATAAAAAATCATTAATAAAAATGCAACCTTAATCAGCTGGCAATGTCATTTGTGTAGATATCTCCAAATTTTTGACACATATAAGTTTTCATAATTCATTTTAGTTTTTCAACTTACGCTTTTTTGAGTAGATGTGGATTTCTTCAATATTGAAATTTCATTAATGGCGAAAATAGATAAGGTTCGCGTAATACTTCTTGGTGATTCTGGTACAGTAATAACTGATTAAAACTTTAAGAAATATTTTATGTTTTTTAGAATTTTATTTTCAAATTATTTCACTAAATATATGAGCACTAATAAATTCATACGCGCTTAGAATACGCCATGTTTTTGGCAGCTTAAATTCTTGTAGAGTTTTTGGAGAAATGAAATTAAATAAGGAATGTCAGAATCAGGGCTGTAGTACGGGTTTAATATACATTATGTAAATTTTAACCATTAATTGCAAAAATTAAACGTTAAAAATTTAAAATTAATTTACTTAATTTTTATTATTTTAATTTATAGTTGCAAATAATTTTTTTATTTTAGGTGTAGGAAAAACATGTCTAACTCATCTGATTGCAAATAATGAAGCTTTAAAAATGCCAGGTTGGACAGTGGGTTGTTCAATAGAGGTTAAACTTCACGAATACAAAGAAGGAACACCGTCACAGAATACGTTCTTTATAGAACTATGGGATATCGGTGGATCTTTGAGTCATAAAAATACTAGAGGAGTATTTTACAATTCAATAAATGGAATAATTTTAGTACATGATTTGACAAATAGAAAAAGCCATGAACATTTATCTGAATGGTTATTTGAAATTCTAAATAAAGACGAAAAAAAAGACTTTTTAAGATTACAAACGAGTCAGGAAATTGAATTTGATTCAGAACAATTTTTGGGTACCACACAAATACCAATATTAGTTGTTGGAACAAAATTAGATTTACTTGATGATAAACGTCGCACAAAAAATTCACAAAAGAATAGTAGTATTGCAGAACAATGTGGTGCAGAGGAAATTTGGCTTAATTGTCATGAACCTAGAAGTTTTGCTGCTGGTACGACAGATGCTGTAAAATTATCGAGATTTTTCGATAAGGTAATTGAAAAGAAACATTATTCCAAAGATACAAGCAATTTGTATGGTGAACGACGTCGAATAGCTAATTCAGTGTCACCGTTTAATACACCCTTTACTTCACCAGATATAAGTGTAGCATCTTTATCTAATACATATAAAACTCCAAATACTGTGATTTAATTAATTTATTGAAATACATATGACCATTTTACACATTCCATTTTTCTTTTTTGCTTATTTTAACCTGGTGGCCAACGCATTTGACGGCCGCCAAGGAAATGCAAATGAAGATGAAATACAGATTGAGCTCCATTTTTACCATCATTTATAACAACACGATATCCATCATCTGCTATTCCTAAATCTTTTGCAATTTTCTTTCCGACCAACATTAGATGACCAAGCAATTTGGCATCTCCATCTTCAGCTAAAGATAATTGAGCAATTGGTTTTCTTGGTATTACAAGGAAATGAATAGGAGCTTGTGGACTAATATCATGAAATGCAACGCACTAAAACGAAAAATATTCGCATAATAGGAAAAAAATATGTACTGTATTGTCTTGTAAATATTTACACTGTCGTCTTCATGAATAAAGTTACATGGTATTTCTTTCCTTAAAATTTTCCCAAAAATTGTATCTCCACCTCTTTCAGCTTGTTGGGCTTTCTCAACTTCATCTGACATAATGATAGCTAAAAAAAAATATAATGCAAAGAAACTTGATAGCGTTCTCATTTTTCATAAATTTACTAACCTCATATAATTTCAAAAAAAAAAAAATCCAACTTGCTATGAAAAAAAAATTTTTCTCATCTAATAGAAATATGTATGAATTTTAATGCAGACGTCAAAAACCGGCGAAAATTATGAGTAAGTGTTACCGTTTTGGAATAAATTGAAAGCTGAACATATCTACTTTCGAGCAAATTAAAAGAAATAAAGAAATGAACAACGATTCGAATATGTTTACGTTAATAACGTTATTTTCTTAATTATAAACGTTAATTAATTTTACTTTTACGTAAAATATATGTGTACATGTTATATTTTATTAACAAACGCGTTACTATTAATAAAAACGATGAGAGAGAAGAATTATGACATTAAAAAATGTTTCGTGTAAAATGTGCCAAATTAATTTTTTTTTTTTTAATTAAACGCAATAAAGTGAAAATCCAAAAGGATATATTCACATGAACATTTATTTAAAAAAAAGGATATTTTTTTGGGATAATATCAAATATGTTTTTTTAAATATATTTTACCTATTGAATATAAATTTGCGAAAATCCCATCACAATATTTTAATCAAATAAATGATTCAAAAAATATTTGACAGATTTTGTAACAAGAGTTACATATTATTCAATTTCATAAAAAATATTTTCTAAGTTTTTGAATAAAATATTTTTTATATGATTTCAAATATGCGTGAAGGCTTTTAATTTATTTTTATTATTAATTGTATTAATAATAAATAATTTATTAATTGTATTAATAAATTATTTGAAACAATTGTCTGTCAACGAATCCAATTATTATTAAAATATGTCTACAAAATATTAAAAAATCATCCTATAGATGGCGTTTTCTATACTTTATAATTCGATAATCTACATAAAAAATTATTACAGAACAATTTTATTTGGTTGTAGACATAAAAAAAAACTCAATCTACACGTTTGTGTACAGTTATAAAAAGTCATTTTAACCCCATATAAAAAGTATTAAAAAAAAAAAACTTCATTTTTTACATTATTTTTTTATTTGTTTTGTTGCTTTTTTTTTTGATTTTCTTATAGTTTGATCCTTCGGCAAAAAAAAAACGAAGGGAAATAATTACAATAATAACAAAATCTAGTATAATATTTACACATATATGAAATTTGTCATAGTAGTTGTGTTTGTAAATTTCTGTCATTTTTTGATATTATTGAATTTGAATGATTTAAAATGAAAATGAAAGAAAGAGATAAATATAAATTTTTTTCGTTTTAATGCTTTTTTTTGTTTTACTTCTTTTTACAACCCCTATGGTATATTTACGTAGATAAAAATACTTACACATTTATAAAAAGAAAAAAATAAGAAATTTACGTAAATTTTGTTATTCTTTTTTTTTTATGTTTTTTGTCTTTGTCATACAAAATGGAACTAACGAATATAATATAGAAAAAGAAAAAAGGAAGAAAAAAAAAACAACAAAAATAAATACAAGTTTTTTTTTTGTTGTATTTGTTTGAATTTCGTTAGGAAAATTTATAACGATACTTTCTAAAAATTTTCTTTTTTTTTCTTCTTCTTATTTTTTCTTATATTTGGTTACTATACTATTATACTATTATAATACTTTTGCGATTCACACACTTTCTGGATGAAAAATATTTTTTATAACATTTTATTTCGTTTAAAATATTTTTTTTTTCCTGTGTGTCTTTTAGTACTTTTTATACCTATATAGAGTAAAAATAAAACGAGAAGTGTGTAGGAAGAATAAAAAATATATTTAAAAAAAAAAAAAAAAAATAGAATAAAAAAAAATAAAATTATATTAAAAAGGAGAGCGAAAAAAAAAATTCTTTATGTTTTTTTTTTTTGTATTAAATCCCGACGCCATTATGTTAAAACGAATAAATATTTTATAGTAATTCATAAAAAAAAAAAAAATAAATTAAATTATTTGGAAAAAAATAAAATTAAAATTGAATTTAATATGTTAAATTCGCTAATATATTTCTATATATATATATACATACACATATATATATAAAATCGTATACAGTCCGCGGAAAATTTTATTCATTTAATATTAATAAAATCAACTAAATAAATGTAATAAGAAAAAAAAAAGATAGAAAAATAAGAAATGCAAAATGAGAACACATCAGAGAGAAAAAAAAAAAGTTTTTTTGCCTTCAATTTTTCCTATATATAAATTAAAATAATTTCTCTTTTTATTTTTCAATTTCTATATATAATAAAAAAGAATTAAATTATAAAAAATAAATGGTAAAGTGAAATTTTTTATATGAAAATCACATTAATGGAAAAATTCTGATAATTTTTGTGAATTTTAAAAATTTGTGAGAAGAAAAAAAAGTTTATTCCTTTTTTTCTCTTATATACGTTATATATACATATATATATATATATATATATATATATATATATATATATATATATATATACATGTATATATATATGGGAATATCCTTTTTATTTTCTTCATTTTATACATATACATATATATATATATATATATATATATATATATAGTTATATGGAATAAATTCCAATCTAAAATTTGTAATTCTAAATAAAGTACTATAATACAAATTAAGTGAAATTATTAAAATTATTCCAATTCAAGAAAGTATAGATTAAAGAAATTGTTAATAAATTAATGAAAAGTGAATTAAAAGTACGAGATTTAGTTTTTTATATTCTGAAATTTCTATATTAAAAGTTCAATAAAAAATGGGAGTAAAATATATAATGAAAAAGAAAAAAGAATAAAAGAAGAAGCAACCCAAAAAAAAAAAACAAAAAGAATTGAAAAAGCAAATATAAAAAATGAAATTTTTAATTAAAAACTAAAGGATTTCAAAACTATTATACGGAAAACTTAATTTTTTTTTACTATTTCTATTAAAATATATAAAAAAAAAAATAAAAATCAAGTAAAATAAGAAATTTACAAGAAAATGTCAAAAAATTATTAATTAGTTTTTAAAAAAAAAAAAAAATCTCTATTGTAAACCTATTATTACTGTTATACACTCAACCCCCACCCCTGTTTTTTTTTTCTTGTGGTGTTATTACTGTTTTCTTTTTTACTTTATTATTATTATTTTTTTTTTTTTTTGAAAACGTCATATTGAAAAATGTGTAGTATGATAAAAAAAAATATATTGTATATTTGTATGTATGTATGTATATGTAGTGTTTTTCTATATAAACAAGAATATTTAGGAATTTAACGTATGTCTGTATGTATGTGCTAAAAAAAATTTTCATGAATTTTTTTTTTTTTGGAATCACCAACCAACCAACCAACCAACCATCATATTAGCAGCACTCTGTTCATATTCAGAAGAGAAAATATTTCCGGGTTCATATTATAATATAATTTTCGTATATAATATACCTACATTCATACGTGTATATATGTATATGTATGAGAAAAAATGACAAGTAAAAAAAATTTTTTTTTGGAATGAAGAATATTGATGAAATTGATTTTTTTATTATATTTTGATTTTATAAATTGAAGCTGAAAGGAATTATTATTAATTAGTATTAATATAGTAAATATAGTAAATATTATTTTTTATAATTTAAATAATTCCAAGTATGACAAGAAATTTAGAATTTTCTCAAATTCATTTAAATTGAAAATAAAATTAAAAATATATTTATTTTGGTATAATAAGATTAAAATTGATTAAGTCAAAATTAGTAGTTTTACGTAAATCTAAAATTTAAAGATTTGATTTAATTTTTGGGAAAAATTTCGAGGAGCTAGCTCTAATTATAATAATGATTTTAAAAAATTTAAAGTTAATATTTTTATTTAACTATATAGTTTCACTTTTCTTTTAGTTAACATATACATATAGGTCGGTCCTATTTAAATTTCACAAAAATGTTGTTAATCATTTGATTATGACTCAAATGTTTTCAGTCCGATTTCATCATTTTACAAATATTGTCCGAATCTAACCAAATTTTAATAAATTATATAGATTAAGAATAAGTCGAATTACGTTAGTCAGTTTTGTATTACAGTTATAATTTTTAAATATCGTAAAAAATATTTTTACTTTAGGACATTTAAACCATGTTTTTATTATTAAAAATTTATTAATTAAGTATGAACTTCGTTTCGGGTATTTTGGGTTAAATTCGAAAAATTTTCGGTCCCAAAAACACCTTTTGTAAAGAGGGATTGCTTTATTACCTTTATATATAGTTATTGTTTTGGGGAAATTTAATTCTAAAATAATATATATATAAAATTTATAAAATATGTATTGAATGTATATTTAAGTGAATAAATGTATTGCTTTAACAGTGAGAATATTTTAATATAAAAATAGGGTAAAAAGAATTAAAAGCATACTATTATAATTTGTAAACGTATGCGGTCCACCAAGATCATCTAAAGCTCTATAATTCTCTATAATTATAAGATTTTTTTCTTTAGAGTTTTAGGATAAGCTCTATTTACGGTTAAATTTCAATACGGTTAAAATAAATTATTACATTAAACTAGAAAATTGAATTTTTTGAGTTATCACATTTTTAATATACAATCGAACAATAATGGAATTTCTTTTTTTTTCAATATTGAATTATGAATAAAAAGTACCACAATATTGTCATTTTAAATATAAAATTCAATATATATTTACTCTTTTTATATATATATATATATGTATATACAAAGATACATTACACTATATGCATTCTGTATGAGAATATGCCCATATATAATATACATTCTATAAATGTTCATATTGAATACATATTATATATATATATGTGGATATGAGTATTTGTATAGTATATTGTAAATTTCATAATGAATAGCATAGATGTAATATATAAGCAATTTCATAATTTTTCTTCTTTTTCAAATTTTAATTTTAAAATTGAATTTAATTGAAAAAAAAAGATTAAAAACTATTTTAATCTAAATTAGATTTTATTTGTATGAAATATATATGATATGATTCAATTTAATATATACACATATATACATTACGTATGTATATATATATATATATACATATATAAGTAATATTAAGATATTTATTTATAATATTTACTTATTTTACTGTCCATTTCTATACATATATCCTTATATATATCATT